TGTGTGTGTGTGTGTGTGTGTGTGTGTGCACGTGTGCGTGTGCGTACACTCATTATCTCAAGAACGTCAAGGAGAATGAGGACGGAAGGCGACGTGACGGCACGCTCTTTGCTCAGGTTGCAGGCGGGACTCTCCTTGATGTGATTACCACGCCTGCGGGCACACTCTGGAAAACCACACTGTACCCCACTAAATGGAAGTATGAAATGATAAACTAAACGCAATTTATAACGAACACAGAGTGATTCAACTCCGGGCTTTTCCAAATCATCAGCAGGTGTTGGTGGCATGGCTGGCAGCAGGCTGGGAGCCGCACAGAATCCGCCCCGGTGACCTAGACACACGAGAGGTGTGCACGCGTGCCATGGAGCCAGGGGCTGGGGGGCTGGGAAGGGGACGCAGTGCGACGAGGCCCTGTCCACAGTGCCTGTCCCTCCCCTCCGCTGCCCCATGCGTGTGCACACGCTATCCTTAATGAAAGTAAATAAAACTTGAAAAGAACGCACGCACAGATGGGACAGACCCAGAGCTGCAACCAGGTTCGTGTCGTGTCCCCTGATTTATGTCAAATGCCAACTGACTGAACCAGGTACTAGTGACTAGGATGAGGTGGGTGTGTGATTATGGTCACAAGCTTTTTTTTTTTTTTTTTTTTTTAATTAGTAAACATTTCTTCTTATTTTTCTTTCTTTTTTTCTTTTTTGGCTATAGGATGTGTGGTCACCAGAGAGAGAGAAAGGGAAAGTGAGAAATCACCCCCCGAGGGATGGCAAAGCTGCAATCTCTCCTCCTCCTGTCTCCTCTGGGGATTTTGAGCACACATGTACATGTACCTGGTGTGATTCTCAGGCCACTGGGCCCGGGACTCGAACCACACAGCTGGCCATGAGGCATCCTGCCTTAATCTCCATACCACCCGCTGGCCCAGCAGACTTCACTTTTATAGAGCAGCTTCAGGCTTGTTGAATACAGGAGCAGAAAGCGGAGTTCCCCCAGCTCCCGCTGCATGCGCTGTACACGTGTGTGCTGCTGCGCCCCACCTGATGAGCCAGCTCCACTGCCCGTCTCCAATCCAGCCACCCTCGGGCTGTCCGTCTGTGGGGCCTATGCTGTGATGGGCCAGAGACCCAGGATCTGGGTATTTGGATCGGGCTGTAACAGTCTCACTGCAGTCAGACCCATGCCAGTGGAATCGGGCCCTGAGATGGACCTTCTGATTCTCCATCTTCCTCGTCAGGAAAGAGAGACATTCCCACAGGACAGTCTTTTCTGGGAAGTCTGGTGTCCTCCTTTCAGGGCATAGGGGCTGTTTTAAAGGGAAAGGAGGAGGCCGGCCCTGTGGCCTAGTGGTTAAGGGAGCCAGGTGCCTCATGGCCAAGCATGATTTGACCCCTAACCTTGGGCTTGAAACGCACCAGGTACACATGTGCCTGCCCCGTTCCGCTGCCCCGGCAGGATGGTGATACGGAGAAGGGACTGTTGCGTGACCACACCCCACTGGGGAGAGCTTTCTTCCCCTTTCTGGTGCGCACACACACCCTTTGGCAATGAAAAGGGACAATAATTTATAAAATAATTTATTTTCATTTATTATTTTTTAATTTGAAAAAATATCTAATAATAGGGGCCAGTAGGTGGCATAAGTGGTTAAGACACTGGATTCCCACATGGCCAACAATGGCTTGAGCCCTGGACCCAGTAGCTTGAAAGACACATGTGCATGCGTGCCCAAAATTCCAAGAGAATGGAGAAGGAACTGTGGAGTGGCCATCCCCCTGGGAGGGTGATTTTTCACTGTCTCTGTTTCTCTCTGTCTCTCCAGTGAGTGCATGTGCCCTACAGCAAAAACTCTCTCTCTCACGCACACACACACACACACAAAAGATGTCTATAAAATAAAATAAATAATTCTTTAAAAAAGAAAAGAACTTCTGTTAGATTTTGCAATGCTGGCTAAATGGCAGTCACCCTTTAACCAAGCATATAAAATGAAGCTGTTTCACAGGGTTCGTTCGATTCAGGGGCGAGTGAGTACCACCCAACTCGAGGGCCAGACACCGGGGCAGGACCGCCAAGCAGACGAGTCAGACGTGCACACGGGTGGGGACCTGCCCAGACAGGTGAGCGCAGGCTGGGCCCAGGCAGACAGGACTGGGAAGGTGCGGAGACTCCAGCACCACAAAGGACTCGCCACTGTCCGGCAAGTTTCAGAGCATTCTCTGAACACGTGCTTCCACTTTTAGGTTTATTTATTCCTTCTCAGGAGAGAGTAAAAGTCAGGCGCCCTTAATAGGGTCTCCACTGCAACCCTGCCCAGCCCTTCCGCAGCTGGGCTCAGCGCTGCAAGGCTGCACCAGTGTGGACAAGTCCCCCGGGAGCCAGACTCAAGTGTCCCTGGCCAGCACTGCAGAGCACTGCCAGCCACGGCAGCCAGGCCAGGTTGTGTTTTAATGAGGATTCAGAGTTCACTCTACTTACAGCTTCCATCAAGCCCTTCAGAGATGGAGTCTTGAGCATCAGGGCGTCGAAGACCTCCTCTGACTCCTTCCGAACGTAGAGCAGCACTACTTGGCCCGCACCCAGGGGAGGTGAAGAAGGGAGAAAGAGATGCGTTAGTTACACGAGCGAAGTACAGACAGATCGGGGAGCTGGGCTAGTTACAAGGACTGCCCACGTCAGCATGACCAGAGTGAGCCGACGTGAACACAGGGCCCGGCTTCTCCAGTATGCCGCTCTGAGCCCGCGCTTAGGCTGATGCCGGTCTGCACAGAGGACAGCTGCGTGACACTGAATGGCGTGTGCTCGGGGGTCAGGCCACCCTGTGTCGGATTCTGAACTCACTGACTTTAAACTCCCAGAGCAATGGAAACACACCTCTCTTTGGCTCCTCTATCCGGGACAGCTTTGCAGAAGGTGGGACAGCAAAGTCGTCTTCTGCTCCGTATGGGCCTCTTTTCAAGGCAGATCTGCAGGTGACCCAAACACGGTTAGGAACATCCCCCCAAGTCAGATGCACCAGCAGGCAGACCCTGACCGAGGGACCTCTCTGAGACGGCGGGCTTGTGATCGTCAAAGCTCTCAGTCAGGACAGCCAGGGAGAAGTCGGACCTTCCAGACTGAAGGACATCAAAAAACACAGCTAAACTACTCGGGTCAGGAGTCCTGGCTGTAAAGGACACCGGAACCACGGGCAGAACTCGAGTGGGCGCTGAGGCCTAGGGTGTAGCCTATGGCCGCCACATCCAGACCCGCACTGTGGGTAAGAGCGTCCTTTGTAGGAAACACTCTGAGGCGCCCAGGAGTAGCAGTCATCCGGTCAGCAACCTACTCTTAAATGGCTCAGGAAAAAAGAGTTCTTGGAGCCAGCAGGTGGCATGGTGGTTAAGGTGCTGGACTCCCATCTGGCCAACTACAATTTGAGCCTCGGACTTGGCAGCTTCCTTTCTCACCTCCCCAACCCCCAGTCAAATTTAAAATAAAATAATTCTTAAAAAATAAAAAAGAGAGAGAGCTCTTGGTACTATCCTTCCCATTTTTCTTTAAGTTTGAGGTTGCTTCTAATTAACAGGAATTTTTAAAACTAAACAGAAACCTTACCCTTCACCCTCCAGTTCATCTGAGGTAATGGGAAGGACCTAGGACCAAAAGAAGAGATGCTTTTAGACCAAAAGAAAGATTGCTTTGTAATATATACGTCAGCTTCAGACGATGAATGACTTACTCCTAAAACAGAAATAACTGAATTCGACCCATCTCACACAAAATCCTTTGGCCTTATCGACACTCCCCGGATTCTTGCACATGTATCCGAAGTCCTCTAGCTCCAGGGCTGGCATCCCGGCCATGGCCGCCGCCCCAAGCCCAGCACTGCCAGCAAAGTGCTTGCCGAACCCGAGCTGCGCTGGAGCGTCTGCCCGTGCTCGCCGCCGCGCTCACACCAGCTCGGGACAGAGACCTCGTGTCCACAGGCCTGAGTAAGCACTGCTGTCTGCCCTTCACAGGAGCCTGCTGAGCCTGCGGACCCCAGAGCTGCCCACAGACTCAACTGCGAGGACTTCAAAGGGCTCATGGGAAATGCCTATTACGAAAAATTGTATGGGAGTTCCAACATTTTTTTGCATCAAATAAACTTGTACTGAGTACTGGCAACGGCTCTCTGAAAAACGCTGGAAAACCTTCAGTCCTCACAAGTCCGTCGTGGGACTACCCTGCTAGGACTCCTTCGAGCTCGGCATAAAAGCACGCTCTCCTCCCCTCAAGCCGGTAGCTCCAGTGAGCGCCTGCCACGGGGTACTGAGTTCAGCGCCGACTGTCCTGACATGCCAGGCTCGGCTCAGCTGCTGGACCCGCCAGAGCCTTCGGCGCTCACTAGGTCGTTGGACTGCCCGACATGGCTCTCCCCAGGTTACGCCACTCGGTCACAGACACAACTCCAGGTTAGGTCACTGCTCTGGAATCTTCTAAATGAGCGAGGACACGACTGAATGATGAAGGAAGGAACATGCGTGTGCCAACAGGATCATGTGACCCGGGCTGGTAGCACCGTTTCCAAATCCATTTTACTGCGTGGGCACGCGCCATCTCAGTGATGGTCCCAGAGAGCCGCCCAGCGGGGCGAACCTCACTCAGCGCCGGCCCCTCTGCTAGAGCAGTGCCGAAGACTCTCGGCAACCCCGGCTGCTCGAGCCCGCGCCCGGGAGGCCGGGTACCTACATGAGTGCCCCGCTGCAGGTTGGCAAAGTGCACGTCGGGGATGAAGAGGACAGGCTGGGTATCGAGGTCGAGGAAGGGCTTGAACACTGTGATGTCCGTGCGTTTGTGGGAGGGAAGCAGCGGCACTTTAACATCCGAAACTGGAAGAGAGGGAGAGAGAGGAACCAGTGTGAGCAGAGTAGGTGGAGGCCTGGGAGCAGGCCCCAGCAGCACTTCCCTGCATGTCCGGTCAGCGTACACCATAGCTCTGCGTAAGACACAGTCATGTGGGCTGAACTGAGAGAACGAGTCAGTCTACATAACACGCTGTGTGTATTACACTACAGCCAATGGAGCGTCTTATTAAAATCCAAAGGAAGGCCAGCCAGTGGTATGGAGGTTAAGGTACTAGATTCCCTCATGGCTGACTGTGGTTCAAGGGCTAGATCTGGTGGCTTAAAACTCACATCAGGTTAGGGCTGGCAGGTGGTGTGGTGGTTAAGGGTGGACTCCCACACGGCTGACTGCGGCTGGAGTCCCGGACATGGTGGATTGTTTTCTCACTCCCCTCAGCCCCCACTCTGTCTCTCTATGGTCATATTAAAATAAAGAAATAAAATAAAGTTCAATAAAATAATTCTAAAAACAAGCAAACAAACTCACATCAGGCATGTGTGCATGCATGCCTGAAATCTTAGGAGGATGGAGAAGGGACTGCGGCAAGGCCATCCTCTCTGGAGGGTGACTTCTCACTTTCCCTTTCTCTGAATCTCTCTGGAGAGTACATGTGCCCGATGGTAAAAAAGAAAAAAAACGGGGCCAGCAGATGGCATAGTGGTTATGTCACTGGATGCCCACATGGTCGCATGCAGTCTGAGTGGCAGACCTGGTGGCTTGAGACTCACGCCCGGTGCACGTACGTGTGTGCCCAGGATCCTAGGAAGAGAAGGGATTGCGGCGTGGCCATCACCCTCGGGGGTGATTTCTCGCTTTCTGTCTCTATGTCTCTCTGTCTTTCTGGTGAGCACACGTGCCCTGTAGCAAAAATCTCTCAACAAAAACAAAAATAACTTAAAGATATAAAAAACAGCTTTCTTGGTGATATGTCCAAACTGAAGCCCTAGAGATTCTGCAAACGTTAGAATATGATATGTAAAAAACACTCATTTGAAACTAAGCCATCCTGGGACCAGCAGATGGCATAATGGTTATGTTGCTGGACTTCAAGACCTGGACCTGGTGGCTCAAACTCACATGGGGCATGTGTGCACGCATGCCCAAGACCCTGAAAGGAGGATGGAGAAGGGGTTACGACGCGGCCATCTGCCTGGGGGGGGGGGTTGTTTCTTGCTTTCTGTCTCTCTGGGGAGTGCACACGCCCTGTAACAAAAATCTCTCCAAAAAATAAACAAAAAAAACAAAACAAAACAAAGAAGAAACTAAGCCCTCCTGAATTTTCAAGGGCATTATTATTTTATAAAATTGAGACAAGTTCCGACTTTCGCAGCTACTTGTGTGGACTACAGGTGTGTTTTCAGGAACGGGGCCAGTGATCCAAACCCGGCCTGACAGCTGAAAAGCCTAGGTGCTAGAAAGAAACAAAATCCCCCTGCAGACCCTGTCCGCCAGTGACGTAGCCTAGCCCCTTGCGCCACTGTGTCTGGCGAGGGCAGCAGCACGCCCCCCGATGACAGTAACACCCACTCCCACTCCTCCTGCCAGCGGAGCGTGACGGGAAGGGCTGAGGCTGAGCGGGAACACTCGACTTACAGGCATGCAGCTGGGAGCCGGGGTCGGGGCACTTGCCTTTTCTCTTGCTTTGCTTTCGTTCTTCGTCCCGGATTTTCCGCTCAGCTCCCTGCAGGTCAGGAGGAGACAAGATGGGACTCTGTTACCAGGTTCTCTTCACAAGAGACTTGTCCTGACCGATGGGAAAACCACCTCTGTGTGGCCTGGAAATGAACTCCATTACTCACGGCACTCACAGGGCTTATCGTAATAGGTTCCTCTGAAAAACTTAAGTATTTCTGGGAACCAGCAGTTAGCGTAATGGCTATGTCGCTGGACTCCCACGTAGTCGACTGCAGTTCGTGTCCCGGACCCGGTGGCTTAAA